TATTATATTGTATTACATTTTATATATTATAATATTATAATTATATTAACAATTTTAATAATATTGTTATATTATATATCATAATTATATAATATATTATATAATAATAATTTTAGTATATTATATTACATTTGATATATTATATTGATAGATAAAATATTAGTGTTATATTAACTTATATATACTATAAGGGTAAGTTTGTCACATGAAAATATTCATGTTCCATTTCAGAGAATTCTTAAAATTATAACTAAATAAATTAATCAACTTTCTTTTCCATTCCATTTCCATTACTATTCTCATTCTTATTATCATTACCATTCCCCCACTGTAACCAAACGCATAAATTTGAGCTTTTTATTTTGATAGTATATGGAATAGTTAAACGTGTTTAGTAAATAATGCTTTAAATTAAAAACAATTTTTTAGAGTTTTTTTTAAATTTATTAGTTTTTGGTAAAATAATGAGAAGAGCAAATTTGACATTTTACATTTTAAAAAATGACTTTAGGGTATTAAAAAATGACTTTATAAAACGTAAGAATATCAATTTAAAATTATTAAAAACACAAGATATTAAAAGACAATTATGCTAAACACATAGTATCAATATGAAATTTTTCCTAAAGAAAAGTGCCTTTTTTTTTTTTTCCTGGACGTCTAGAAAATCAAACACACACACTACTACCATTGTATATATAATATGTTGGTGTGAAATGTGAACACACACATACAAGTCTGTGTTGATCTCTTCAAATTATATATTCGCAAAATCCTATTAATATGGTATCGAATACCAATTATTACTTTTTTGAGGTTGAACTTCAAATATTTGTTAATTTCTTTACTTTTGTGGTTTTGGCAGTATGAGGGAGCAGTAAAGGAAGATGGAAGAGGACCATCTGTTTGGGACACTTTTGCACATACTTTTGGTAATATTTCGTGTATTTTTTTTAATTTTCTTTTAAGTTAACATTCAAGGACAGAAAAGAAATTACAAGAATTTGTGCAGATAATTAGTATGACATGGCTAGTTTTTTATTTATTTATTTATTTATTTTTTAATGCGTGGTGGTTGCTTATCTGCTTTAACAATTTGGACTTTGGTTCCTAAATTAAGAATCTTTAATAGTTGACCACTTAAGTGTAAAATATGGGAAATTTAGAATAAAAAAGAAATGGTAGTTTTATTCTCCATGTGCATGTGACATATTTGTCGGTATTTAATTTGTTGTATCAATTAATTAATTGGAAAAAAAATTGCAATTACGCCAATCCATTTAATTGGCAAAGTTTCAATTACTGGATTGATTATGCAAAATAATCTGATTATCCTCATGATCCCTTGCATTATGCGCCAGGTAAAATTATTGATTTAAGTAACGCCGACGTTGCTGTGGACCAGTACCACCGTTATGAGGTTAGTCCAAAATCTTTTTATTATTTTTGGTTATTTTATTAACTGAACTAATGATATATATATATATATATATTTATTGGCACTGTATTCCTGGGTAAAAACAGATCCTAATATTCCAATCATTTTCAACAGGAAGATGTTCAACTTATGAAGGATATGGGAATGGATGCTTACAGGTTTTCCATAAGCTGGTCTCGGATATTCCCCAGTAAGCATACTTTTGCTAATTGCCCAGTACAATAATAGAGGGATTTTAGTGCTTTTGTCCTCCGAACTTTTAGTGAATTGGCAAGTTATCTTTGAACTTTCGATTTAAAAAAAGTATTCTATCAGTTTGATAAAATGTTGTAGAATGACTCCTTAGCAATACAATATGTGAAAATTTAGGGGGAAAAAAAAACCTCATGCACGTGATATATATGACATTTACTATCGTCATCTGAAATTTCAGTCTCTACTTTCAAACGAGCTCAAATGACAGTTACAATAATATTTCTATCCAAATTTTATTTACCATCATCGATTCTGCTCATATTTTACGACACACTATTAAATTAATTTGCATTTTACTAAAATTAAAAATTCAAAATGCAACTTGCCAATTCATAAAAAGGATCATTCGGGCAAATGTGCCAAATCTCTAATATTTTAGAAAACACTTGCATCGAATTAGCAACACAGTTTTTTTTTTTTTGGGATCTTGGAAACAAGCACAACTTTCGAGAATTTAAGATGATTAAAAGACAAAGATCTAACTATAGTTTTTGTTGCATCAGATGGAACTGGCCAAATCAATCAGGCAGGAGTTGATTATTACAATAAACTCATCAATGCCTTACTAGCCAAAGGTTGTGCTCCGTATTCTCTTATATCAAAATTTAATCAAAACTTTTTAAGACATGAAACCTCAACTTTAGTCAATCTTCAGGCTACTAAAAAGTTGTTTTTCTGCATTAATTTATCACATAACGTTTCTTAGGAATTGAGCCATATGTGACCCTCTACCACTGGGACCTTCCTCAAGCCTTGGAAGACAAATACAAAGGGTGGCTTGACCGCCAAGTCATGTAAACATTTTTTTTTTTCTTTCTTCAATCTTTCACTTGCAATTCAATCTCGTTTGGAAATATATGTGGATGAATTTAGTGATCTACCACAGCAAGGACTTTGCGCTTTTCGCGGAGACGTGCTTTCAGCAATTTGGGGACAGAGTGAAGCACTGGATCACATTCAACGAGGCGTATACTGTCGCCGTACAAGGCTACGACGTCGGTCTGCAGGCGCCGGGGCGGTGCTCTATCCTTCTTCACCTCCTCTGCAGGGCTGGAAACTCTTCAACCGAGCCTTACATAGTTGGTCACAATATCCTCTTGTCTCATGCAGTTGCTGTGGATATTTATAGGAAAAAGTACAAGGTAAGAAGATGATAAGAGGTCTGAATTAACCCAACACAAGCTTCTGTTTTATCTCTTGCAGGAAACTATACCAACAAAAAAAAAAGAAAATGACAGATTTTTGTGAGCCCATTTAAGCACTTTGCATACACCTCATGAACCTCCAATATAACTTATTAGCCGTATAAAAGCCGAAATAAAATAATAATTTCAGCTTTATCGTTGCTTAAATTTGTTTGGTCATTCTGCAGAGTAAACAGAAAGGGTCAATTGGGATGTCTCAAAGTGTGATTTGGTTTATACCAGCATCAAACTCCACAGCAGATATTGAAGCGGCTCAAAGAGCCCAAGATTTTCAGCTTGGCTGGTAATTGTCCAAAACAAATTCACTCGAAAGTCCTTGAATAATAAAAAACTTTACCTACTTTCAAGCACTTGTGAAAACACAATTTTGTATTAAAGCTTCCACTGGTTAGTGTAACAGTATTTCACAAATTACAGGTTTCTTGATCCCTTGATGTTTGGAGATTATCCAAGTGCAATGAGGAAACTAGTAGGAAACCGTTTGCCAACTTTTTCAAAAAGCGAGTCTGCTCTACTAAAAGGATCCTTCGATTTTGTGGGCATTAATCACTATACTACTTTCTACGCGTTCAACGTTACACTTTATGGACTTAATGACACCTATCAAGACTCTGCTGCTCTTACAACTCGTAAGTTTACAGTTGAACCCTTTTTCTTACATCTTTTGTAATGCTTTATTGAGATTAAAAACATGTTTTGTTGCTAAGTGATTATACTAACTACGTTGACAACACGGAGTTAATATAATATCGATTAACTTAATTTGCCTTTGCTCCTGTTCTAATTATTATAATTTCTTTAATTGTTGAAATTAAGACACTTTGACATTTCAGCCCCTGTCTAGTGAAAATAATTACTGAAACAACACAACTACAGTATCTTAAGGCATCGTTCGTTTCACCATTCGAATCACAACTCAAACTTTTTTTTTTTATAATGTTTTCTCTCACTAATATTTGACTTTAATTTTTTTACTACAGCGTTTTCTCTCACGTTAATTTATTTTTTAATTCAAATTCACAACTCGAACCAACGTTATAAGAGTCAATTTTCTCCACTATAACTTACGTGACAATAATCTCCTATGCTTGACACGTGGCATACGTTTTGAAACAGCTGTTGGACTGTAGAAAAGGCCTAGTATTATATTATGCTTTGTTGCTAAATGATGGTACTAACTATATCCTTGTTCTTCTTGTCCTTTCAGCATTCAGAAATTTCAAACCTATTGCAGACAAGGTATGTCGTCTATAGGAGAAAAATGTCGCGGGTGTTTAGAACCGTTTTTTAAAACGGTTTTCGAGAAGTAAAAAAATAAAAATAAAAACAAAACAACGTTTGTTTAATAAATGTTTTAAAAATGAAAACGAAAACGAAAACAAAAATAATGTGAATTATTTTTGTGAATAAATTAGAAAACAGTTGAAATATATTTTCATTTTTTTGTTTTTATTTTTTTAATACTTATCAATAATATTATAATATATTAATTAATAAACATGATTTTACTTTTTTATTATACTTAAAATAATCTCTTAAAAAATTAACTAAACGCAATTTTTAGAATCGGTCCCAGAATGATTCTCAAAACAATCTCACATTTAATTTTTATTGAAAATAAAATCATTTTGAAATCAATTCCAAACGCACCCGTCATGTTTAAATTTAAGCCTAATTAATGGCAAAAGTAAAGAGAAAAAGAATTTTCTTTCTTTCACCAAACACAACTATTTTATGTTATACGCAGGCAAGTTCAATATGGTTGTACATAGTACCAGAAGGGATGAGACATTTGATGAACTATATCAAGCAAAAGTATGGCAATCCCCCAGTCATTATCACTGAAAATGGTAAAATCTTCTAGAAACCCGACAGAAGCCAAAAATCTGCTCCCAAGTGGTTTTCCATTTTCGCTGTTTTTTCACTCCTAAGAACATTCTTTTCCTTTGACCAAGAATGGAAACTTATTATAACTAATCTCTTTTGCTTGACAGGGATGGATGACCCAAATAACATATTGATTCCCCTTAAGCAGGCTTTAAAAGATGAGAAAAGGATCAAGTACCACAATGACTATCTAACAAACTTGTTGGCTTCTATCAAGTATGCACAATATATATATATATATATATATATTATTTATATTTTTACAATATTTGGTGAACATTTCTAGGATGTTTAGAGCCTAATAGTATGGTTAATATTATTATTGTTGTTATTATATTTTGAATGCAGGGAAGATGGCTGCAATGTAAAAGGGTATTTTGTGTGGTCTCTATTGGATAATTGGGAGTGGGCTGCTGGATTTACATCTAGATTTGGTCTCTATTTTGTTGATTATAATGACAAGCTCAAGAGATACCCAAAGGATTCTGCAAAATGGTTCAAGAATTTCTTGACTTCTGCCTGAAAAAAATAAATTAAATAGGATGGTGCTTCATTCTCTACTCTTTACACCAATACATGCAATGTACATGTACAAGGGTTTTCCCATTATACCTTCTTCCTTACCATTGTGGAACCTTCCTTTTTCATAAAGAAATGTGATTTAATTTCCTAAGCTCTCTCTCTCTCTCTCTCTCTCTCTCTCTCTCTCTATACACACACACACACACACACACACACACACACACACACACACACACACTCATATTTGTATATACAAATGTAAATTAAATTGAATCTATTTTGATGACATTATGCATGAGTTAGATACATCATGGTCAATTCTTCAGGAAAAAGAATTATGAGGGGCATACTTGAGTCTAGAGTGTTCATATGATATTTCTTATAAAAGTTGTAACTAGCAAAAAAAAGAAGTAATATTCCCTAATTTATGTATTTACATGGAAAAATTATAGAATTCAATAACGATAATCACATCAAGTTACGATTCTATTCTAAGTTTCTAACAATGATACCGAATAAACACATCCATGAGGACCATGACTAAGGGATCTTCCAAAAATTTATTTAAAAAGTAAAAAGAAATACAAGCTAAAAACAAATAATTAACGAAAATACAACAAACGATATACGAAAAGGGAGTAAGTTTTGTTTTAAAAAGAGTAATTTTTCTTTTTAAGTGGATAGTTACACTAGGATATTTTACACATGTAGCGTTTTCAGACCGTAAAAAAAAAAAAGAAAAAAAGTAAACTAGGATAGGAATTTATGTGATGAGTAACAAGCTGACGACAAAATACTATTTATAATAGAAAAACAAATAAGGAAACATATAGCCTTGACCCGATATATTCCCAAATTTTAAAAAAGGAAACAAACTTTATTCGTATCTTGTCTTGAATATGATCTAACTAATATATATATATATATATATATGTATATACATATGTATATGCGTATATTTGTGTGTGTATATATTGTTGCTAGGTTTAAGCCTTTATGATCATGTCGCAAAGAATGGCAGAAAATCAATATGGTGGAGCAGAATTTGATAATTTGTTATCGAAATCCTCAGTTGAAGTGCAATTGAATCTGGAAGATCTGCATTTACCAAGCGGGTACAGATTTTTACCCGATGATTACGAGCTAATCATATATTATTTGTTGAATAAGATTCTTCATCGTCGACTTCCTGTGGATGCTATCAAAGTGCTTGACTTATATACATGCGATCCTGACAAGTTACCAATCAGTAAGTTCTTACTAAATACTCTTTTATAACTAATGTTAATTACATGTATCATTAGAAAAAAACTAATATCATCATATGTGACAATGTTTTTTTTGTTTTTTTTTTTTCTGATTAAATTTGTACTTGATGTTAAATCGTTAATGTAATTGCTCAACTTAATCCAAGAATATTTATTCACTGCCTGATCTTTTACTGACTCGTTTTGCATGTGTTGAAAATAAAACCACAATAATATACCTGTATAACACAACTTATCTCAGAAACAAAATCTTTAATGAAATATAATGTATTTGTTACACACAACGAATTGTCTTAGAAACGAATACAAGTTCGAAATAAACGACAAAGTAACGCTTATGTGTTGCATGTATATACAAGCAACATATAATTTTCACTTACAATATTAATACATGTGATACGTCCCCATATAAGCATGCACACTTGATGACTTTAAAAGTTTTTATTATTGGTTTTTCTGAGTATACTTTTTGCTTAATTAGATATTAAGGTTGTTGCTCCATTTAGAGTCCAGATCAATCTTTTTAATGTAATGACTAATGATAGATACTTAAAGAATTCATTCATTATTTTCACTTAGAAAATTTGGGAAAGCTTGGAAATCTTTGTATACCAGCAAGTTTATTATTAGGGTTCATCACCACACCTTTTTAACTAATCACAAATTGATTCAGCTCGGGAACTCACCAATTATAACACATTCTATGTCCTGCATATCAAATTTTACATATTAATATGTAATTAATGATGACTGGCATATATATATATATGCATACAAGTTGTGTAATGTAATGCATGTGATATGTACCTATATCTATATATATATATATAACCATGCATACTTGATGACTTTTTGGCTTTTATTCTTGGTTTTTCTGAGTATGTTTTTGCTTCTATAAATGCTCTCCATTTATACTCCACATCAATTTTTTTTGATGTAATGATCACCACTTAAGAAACCATTTATTCTTTTCATTAATTGAAAATAAATGGGAAGCTTAGAAATTTTTGTATACCGGCAATGCTATATGTCATTGTTGAATGTTGAGGATCTTCACCAAACCTTTTTAACTAATCCAAATTCACAATTCAATTCAAAAGTCACTGATTATACATAGCGTCTAAATCTTGGTCTAAATTAGGCCAATATCATATTTGTATGTGTAAATAAGCACAATTTTTTGGTTTTTAACAAAGGTGATATTAAACCTTAAATCTTAAGTATCAATCTCTAATTAGTTATTACTGTACGTTGTGTAATATCTTGCAGAGGATTTCGAGCTTAGCACAGAAAACAAGGCACATTACTTCATGGAAACAAGAGACACGCATGTGGAACAAAATGTTATTACGACAGAGAATGGTGAATGGGTGCAAAATGGTGAAGAAGAAGCGATTCACCACGGCGACAATACAATTGTTGGATTCAAAAAAGTCAGGCATTTTCAGTGGAAAATATCATCACCAGAAGTATGCGAAACTCAGTGGATCATCAATGAATTGAGACTAAATATTGGTGTCATTCCTGACCAGATTCTCATGAACAACAACATAATGAAAGAGGTAAATACTAAATAGAGCAAATTGCATTACATAATGTTAATTGTTATGTGAAACTAATTAATGATTGTAGATTTTTATAGTACAACTTTGAAAGAATAAACTATTAGTAGGTCTCGGTTTTTCAGTCGTTTGAGATGACTTAAAAACTGTCCGTTTTACATATTTTTTTTTGTTTGAATATGTTTTTAATCAGATTCAATGATAAAAAACGTGTATTATTTATTAATACGAGGTCCTACCGTAATTAAATTTTGATGAACAACTATCATCTTTGTGATTTCGTTGATGATCATTTTTTTTGGGTTATGTAGGTGGACAGGTGAGTTGTGTGCAGATTAATAAAAAAGAGAAATGTGACGGGAATTGTTTCAGTTTATTGTACATTAGGAATTTAGTATTTAGGTTTTCTTTTCAAGTAAAGATATTATTATAGTTGCTACTAGTGATGATCATTTGTAAGTTACAAAGTGTTTTAAGTTCACTTTTTTTTTTTAATTTATTTTTTATGCTTCCTCTATGGAAAGAATTTTGAGCCCAAATTACCACATCGGCCATTTGTGGTTGGATAATCTTGACAAATACTCATTAAAAGTACATGAGTAAGAATTTTTACCTTTTACTATTGATTCATAACCTTTTTAGTCAAATAATTACACTAACAAAAGGCTATTTATCGAGAGTAAGGGGTAAAAGTCCAGATTCATGCACTCTTAACACTACTACAATTTGCTCTATTTGCGACGACATTTGTAGTCGTAGATAATTAACTATTTGCATCGACATAACGTCGCAAATAATATTCGTATGATAGAAGAATGTTGTCATCGCTAATAATGCACAAGTCGTCGCAAATATATAGTTGGTGGCAAATGTTGTCTGGCACCAACATTTGCCGTCCAAATAATAATATTTGCGACGACTGTTCGTCACAAATAATTCTTTATTTGCGACGACACTTGTCGTCGCAAATAATAATTCATTTATTTTTGTTCCCCGAGTAAAAAGGCGATCAATTTGGTGGTTCCCAAATATTATTTGTGACGACAATAATATGTATCATCACAAATAGTTATTTTGAATTCCTTCGCAAAAAAACGGCGGGGAAATAAGGCGGTTCCCAAAACGTAATTGCGACGACAACGAACAACGTCGTCGCAAATAATAATTCCATAACATTAGTATAAATATTACAAAATTAAGTTATATTTGCGACGACAAATGTCGTCACAAATTGTTTTATAAGTTATATTTGCGACGACAATGTCGTCGCAAAATAGTGTTATTTATCGTCGCAAAAAGCTCTGTCTATATACCCAGGACCAGAGCCTCCTCTTATATTTTTTCCAATCTCTCTCTCTCTCTCTCTCTCGGCCTCTCCCATGCTTTCTGACTTTAAACCCCAAAACCTCCCTCTATTCTCTTCTAAATCCTCACCAAATTAACATTTATCATAAGTTTTAATCATTTTTTAAGTGTTTTTCATCAAAAGAAGTATAAAAAATACACCCTCTCCTCGCCGCCCTCCTCAGCCGCCGCCGCCTCCCCACCTTTGCTGTTTTCAGCCCCCCTTTTAGTTGGTTTGAACTTTGTAAGTTTTTTACCTATATATTGTATATTTTAGTTTAAAATATTTGGGTTTTTTGTTGTTAGAATTTTAGATTATAGATTTTACATTTTAAATTTTGATTTATAGATTTTAGAATTAGTATTTAATTTGATGTTTATATTATAGATATTAAATTTTGGATTATGAATTTTGAGATTATTGAAATTTGGTATAAAGTGTGTGAATTTTTTAGGATGTTATTTTGTGAGGTATGCTTATAATTTGATTTAGGTTATGATTAAAAATTTTGATGACTTGTCTGGGTGGCACATCTTGCAGTTATGGTGTGCCGAAATCCTTTAAAAGCTAGTTTTTTGCAGGTTTGAATTTTTGGACAATAAGAAAAATAAGTGGTTATGTTGCCGAAATTTTATTAAAATTTCATAAATAAAATTTAATTATATTAATAGAGTTATGGTGTTCGGCCCAGTAGCTACATGCGCTGACTCTGTAGGAGGATCATAGCCTCCACCTGATCTGACGAGACTCTGGGTCCATTGTCAGTCAGGTATTATATTCTATATCACATGAACGATATTTTTTCTTTGGTGAATTCTATATAATCAAATTTTGTTATTTTTATTTTTTTATAGTTCCAGAGACTTAACAGCCTCTATATCGATCAAGAAGACGAGGACAAGAACGAGGATGACAATGCTGTTAATTTAGGTGTATAAAACATATGTTTTTATTTTTTTATTATCAACACTTTATAGTATTTATTGATTAATATACTTTTTAAGACTTATCTTATTATTGTGTTGACTATTTTATATCAATTATATTATTCTATTTTATTATTAAATTTTCTTCAAATTTATATCTTTATTAATTAATATTATTAGGAAAGTACGGGAAAAAAAGAAAATACTATTTGCAACGACATATCTAAAGTGTCGTCGCAAATAGTCCACATTACTAGCAACGACGGTTTAGTCGCAAAAGGTTTTAAAGACTTTTACGATGACACTATGTCGTAACAAATACGGTATGACACGTCATCATCAACGACATATTCGACGGAACATTCGTTATGATTTATTCGCGACGACTGTCGTCGCTAATATATTTGCGACGAGATTTCAAAACTATGTCGTCGCAAATATATTATTTGCCACAGATTTTTTGAGACGACATGTCGTCGAAAATAAAATATTTGCGACGACAAATCAGTTATTTACGACGACATGATGTTGCCACAAATGAGCTTTTTTGTTGTAGTGAAGAGTAAATTCTCCATTTTTTTAAAACTTTTTAGGGCTTTTTACACATCTAATAAAATTTCAATGGTAGAATTTACATACAGCAAAAGTTTTAAAATATTATAAAAATAGTAATATTTTGATATCATTAGAATAATGTTTATATCATTATGTAGTACAAAATGACATAATCATTATTTGGCATTATTATGATAATGATTATACCATTTTTTGCTATATTTATAATATTCTGAAAATTTTGTAAAATTTCAAATCAAGATATGAAATTTTGCCATGTATTAAAACAAGCAAGTCTTTAAAACTTATTTACAGAATTGAAAAATTCAATCAAATCTTTTGAAAATCTTAATTAGATCTTTTGAAAATTTAATTTTCTTGTACTTTTTTATGCAAAATTATTAATTAAATTTAGTTTGGTGTTTTTACTTTCATCTCATGTATATAGTATATATGATATGGTATTTATACACACATAATATATAATATATATGGATGAGTTTTCAACTTACCTTTCAGAGAAACTTACTTTTTTTTTTCCTCAATGCAAAGATTCAAGTGTCACGCACGTTTTTCTTACATTTCTCCTATACAAAATACTAATAAATATTCCGGAAGTCTAATGATCACGATCTAAGGCTCTAACTCTCAATATCATATTATATTTGTTTTATTATGACGTCGGTCTTACTCAAAGTTTTATGTAATGTTTTCTATTTTTGTTAATTATAATGGAAGCCAATATTATTTTTTCAGTATGAAGGCCATTTAGTTGTAATTTTTTCGCAGTTCATTTTATTATTTATGTTCTTTCCTCTTAGGTTTTAATTCGAATCCTCCAAGCTTTTCCAAAAATATTGAGGAAGATTTTGTTGCGATCGTCTCAAATATTGATAAAAAAGGTTATTATGAGGTTTTGGATGTATTAATGCTGGTTTCCCACTTAAGAAATTCACTTGAGTATTATTTTTCTTTATATATTTAAGATTTCGAGTCATTCTAATGCATATTAGTGTGTGGTTATAATTTTTAATTAAAAAAGATTATAGATGGTGAAAATTAACTTATAACTGAAATATATAGATTGAGAAAATTCCGTTGTGTTATCTAGTTAAGAGCTAGAGAAAGAGGACCTTAACAAGATATCATTAACAAGAGAACTTGCATTGGAGTCACCTCTATGTTCATGCATACCAACATGTCCTGTAAAGAATTTCAAGATGTATGAGCTTCAGCCATCCACACGTCTTTCCGCGTAAATGATGTGCCCCGTTCATTTCGTTAGTTTAAGTTAAAACATAAATTCATGTGAGAAAAAAATAATGTAGCAGAAAAAAATTGAATTTATATTTCAGAAAAGATACTGTAACAAAAAATTTGAATTGTTATTTGAATAGTAAAACGAACAAAAAACTGAAAATAAGAATGAAATAAAAAATAATACACTGAGAACTAACTATAGCATAAAAACAACAGAAATTTCTCTAAGGAAGAAAAAAACGTAAAAGTAATTCTAGAGAGAGAGAACGAGGAAGAAGGAGAATAGTCCGGCCGGCTATTGGAAGCGTGTCTCTGGTAAGTCGATCTACACGATGGTGGAGTCCGTATTGGTATTTTCTTCTCTTTTAGTTGTTTGTGGAATAAAGGCAGTCATTCTGCCAATGTTGGTGTTTATTTTCCCCCACAAATCACTAGATCTGTGTGGGCTTTGGTTGTTTTTAGTTGTGTAACTTGTGTTCCCCCACCAAGCAATAACCTTGTGTGGGTTTTGTGTTGTTGTTGTTTTTTTTTTTTTTTTTTTATCTTCCACATGTCTTTAGTCAGACCTCTCACTTCGGCAAGCTTGATCTGGAAGAACACTGGCTTTTAGAAATCCGTCTTTGCAGAAAGTTTGTTACAGCCCTTTCGGGAGAGCCAACCGTAGAGGGCGAATTAAACGAGTCAAGATAAGTGCTCCAAATTGTTTCCATTATCACCTTAGATCTCTGTACTAAGACGCCAACTTATCTACCGATTTTAGTTTGTTGTATCAAATTTTATGTATTAAGTTTTCTTTTAAGCTTCGTGATATGTTGATTAATGAAATGATTTTTTTCATTAAAAAAAGGACTAACTACAACATTTTCTTTTGAAAACAAAAGTGTCAATTTTTTTAATATTAAACTATACACCATTAACATATTCTCCCAAAATATTTTCTTGTTTTGGGAATCAAACTCATAGAAAGAAAAATGAAAGTAAGCGAAATAAAAAGATATTTTTCCTATACTTTTGAGAAAATTAATAAATGCCAAGTGGTATGTAAATAATGTGAATTTCTATAAAGAAAAATGTCAATTTTTAGGAATACCCATTGAAATGGAGCACACTCTTATATTTTTCTCTCTTAATATTAGCTCATAAATTTCTACTTTTTAGACTAAAATTAGTTAATTAGTAGAACCTTTTAAAAATAATACTTTTAATAAGTTATGTACTTAAAGAGATAAAATCTTTAATTCTAAAAAAAAAAAAATGAAACATTTAAATTTTACATCAAATGAAATTGGGAACATTTAAATATTTTTGGCGTTATGTTTAATTTATTGCATGTTTTAATTCGATATAGTTCCGATATAGGATTATATCCAAATCCAATCATCAAGGTATTTTTTCATGTTATTTCACAGAATTTTCCTACAAATAATTTACTATAATAAGAGGATTTTATGAAATCTATCCAAATACCGAGGGTGAAAAAAAAAATATATTAAGCTACCTTGTCCATGCTCCCGTCTTTCCTATTGCCATCTTCCGTGGATGGCCTCCTTCTTAATCTAAACTTTCTTCAACAAATACATCTTACTACGTATTTGAAATAAAATCTAAATTGTATTTAAATAAAGTGTTAAAATCTACCATTATAATTTTACAACACATCTTTTAAGATTTTATTGTAAGTGTCATATTTGGATATACAATATGAATTTTATTTTAATATGAATTTAATCAAATCTAGTGCATTATCGGTAGCATGTTCCTACCATTTCAAAGCTCCAATTTAATAATTAAAAATCTAAATGGAATTAAAAAAAAAAGTTTTATTTATGGTAGAATTGAATAAAATAAAGTTGGTGAGGGAGTGAGGGATCATGACGTGTAGTGGAGGTAAAAAACGTGTTGAACGAATGAAATCAGTGGGGCCCACTGTTTCTGAGTCACCCGAAACCTCGTTGGTTAGACCTTAAACAAAACCCCTCCTTCTCTTATATATATCAGCCAAACCTCTGAGAGCTTCTCCATATTCAGAAGTAGAAGAAAGAAGAAGAAGAAGAAGAAGCTCATTTTCTCTCTCCTCCGCTTCTTCTTCGTCAGATCTCTCTCCCACGACACAAAAAACAAGCCACTTTCTAAGTCTGAGGTAATTCAGCTCCTCGGTGTTTGGTAATTTGATGTTCTCGGTTGCGTGGACAGTTTTTTGCTTTTTGGTCTTTCTTGGTTTCTTGTCGTGGGTTTCTATGATTTTGTGTTAGTCTGTAATTGTTGTAGTTTTGGATTTTGCTTTAAGACAGTTGTGTTGTGAACGGATCTTGTGAGTTTCTCATTGTTTGGCTGTAGATCTGGCTAGTGATCGGCCATTTGTGTTTTGAGTTTCTGAGTGTTTGATGTTTTGTCTTCTTAGGTTAATGAAAATAGAATTTTGTATGAGCTAAACGACTTGAAATGTTTTGTTTTTGCTTGTGAGATATTTCAATCGATTGGTTAGTAAAACTCTGGATCTGCAAAGTTTAAGGTAGTTTTTGTCATTTTGACGTGTAGATCTGATTTTCCTTTCTGCTTCTTATGCGAACTCAGTTTCTGTTTATGTTCTCTTCTTGTCCTAAATTTTTGACGTGTAGATCTGATTTTCCTTTCTGCTTCTTATGCGAACTCAGTATCTGTTTATGTTCTCTCCTTGTCCTAAACATGAAATAAAAGTTGGGACCCTTTTTTATTTTTTTATATTTGGCTTGCCGTGTTGCTTAAATAAACTAGATCAACGTTTGTATTTAAAAATTACATTTTTGTTTTGGACATTTGTGAGGAATAAACCTTGTCGGCAGGTCGTACAGTATTCATTATGGTTCATCTGGTTCTGTTGTTAGTAACTTAGAATATTCTATCTCAGAAAAAATAACTTAAAAAAAAAAGAATTTGGTAATAAACAAAGTCCTAAATTAATTCTAACTTCTAGTTAACATGGTGGGTTCTAGCAGTTTAAGTTTGCCGTTCCTGATCTTTATGTTTGTCCTTTTAGTTACCAATTTTGTTGGTGTTTTTGGTTCTTAACGAGGTTCTGCTTGTCTGTCTTTTTATTGAGTCTTTACAAGGAAGCATAAAATTGATGATCTGGCTTTTGGATTTTATTTCTCTAATGCTTTCCCTGTTATATGTCAGCTCTTCATTCAGGATAGTTATAACAAAGAAAGATGGTCAAGATCTGTTGCATCGGAGCTGGATATGTCGGTGGCCCTACCATGGCTGTGATTGCACTTAAGTGCCCAGAAATTGAAGTGGCTGTTGTGGACATCTCTGTTTCACGGATCAATGCCTGGAACAGTGAGCAGCTCCCAATCTATGAACCGGGTCTTGACGATGTGGTCAAACAATGCAGAGGGAAGAACCTCTTCTTTAGCACAGACGTTGAAAAGCATGTCATGGAGGCAGATATAGTCTTTGTCTCAGTCAACACTCCTACCAAAACCCAGGGTCTTGGTGCTGGGAAAGCAGCTGATTTGACCTACTGGGAGAGCGCTGCTCGTATGATTGCGGATGTCTCAAAGTCTGACAAAATTGTGGTTGAGAAATCGACTGTCCCTGTGAAAACAGCTGAGGCAATTGAAAAGATTCTGACCCACAATAGTAAAGGAATCAACTTCCAGATCCTTTCCAACCCGGAATTCCTTGCCGAGGGAACTGCAATCCAAGACCTTTTCAATCCGGACAGGGTTCTCATTGGAGGTAGGGAAACCCCAGAAGGTGCAAGGGCTATGCAAACATTGAAAGATGTTTATGCTCATTGGGTTCCTGTTGATCAGATTATTTGCTCGAACTTGTGGTCTGCTGAGCTTTCCAAGCTCGCTGCAAATGCCTTCTTGGCACAGAGGATATCTTCTGTTAATGCCATTTCGGCTCTCTGTGAAGCAACTGGGGCAGATGTCACTGAAGTGTCCCATTCTGTTGGTACAGACTCAAGAATCGGGCCCAAGTTTTTGAATGCCAGTGTTGGTTTTGGTGGGTCCTGCTTCCAGAAGGATATCTTGAACTTGGTCTATATCTGTGAGTGCAATGGCCTTCCTGAGGTAGCAAACTACTGGAAACAGGTCATCAAGATCAACGACTACCAGAAGAACCGATTCGTTAACCGTGTTGTCGCCTCAATGTTCAACACAGTTTCAGGTAAGAAGATTGCAATTCTAGGGTTTGCTTTCAAGAAGGATACCGGTGACACCAGAGAGACCCCGGCTATTGATGTGTGCAAGGGGCTGTTGGGCGACAAAGCCCGGTTGAGCATCTATGATCCACAGGTTAATGAGGAGCAGATTCAGAGGGATCTCTCTATGAAGAAGTTTGATTGGGACCACCCTATTCATCTTCAACCAATGAGCCCTACCGTCGTGTGGGATGCTTACGAGGCAACAAAGGATGCTCATGGGGTATGCATTTTGACCGAGTGGGACGAGTTTAAGAAGCTTGATTACCAGAAGATTTATGACAACATGAGGAAGCCTGCATTTGTGTTTGATGGTAGGAATATTGTGGATGCCCAAAAGCTAAGGCAAATTGGGTTCATTGTTTACTCCATTGGTAAGCCACTAGATGCTTGGCTCAAGGACATGCCTGCTGTTGCATGAAGCTCTCTCTGAGGTCTCATCTCGAGAAGCTTGGAGGGTTGGTATCAAATCAAATTCTAATATTAAAAGAGGATGCTTTGTCCTACTTTACGTTAATTTTTGTTATTTGTTATCCCCTTTCTCTAATTTTGAGATTTGTTTTTTGTTCTATCCTTATTATAGGTTCTAAAACACAGTATCTGGATCTGTTCTTACTCCTATCTAGCTAGCCCAATATCTGAATTTGTTCTTTGTTTGTTTGTTTTTTTTAATGTAATAATAAATGAGAAATCCAATAATTTCTATACTATTCATCTATATTTGCTGTGTGGGTGGTGGTGATTGTTCCAGGGATCTGCCTTTGGGCTTTGGCATTCTACTCTAGTCCCTTACCTTCCACAATTATTTCCTCTTGTAAGCAGAAAAGATGCCCAATTAATTGAAATTTTTTTTTGGGGGGTAAATCCAATTAAATGGATTGCTAATCCTGTTGGTAATCGAATCGAATTCGGATGCGAAAGTGTGGTGTGGAGGGCGGATCAAGTATAACAAAATTTTCATAAAACTTTGAGATACTCTATAGATTATATTAATTTATGCACGAATAAATTAATCACATTAATTTTTATATCAAGAACTCAATTAGAAAAAATACTTGGAGGTCGACTCGGATGATAACTTGAGTTCTTTGACCACGAACGATTTTTACTCCAAAGCCTTGTGTTTAGAAAACCAAAGTCTTCTACGTCAATTCCTTAAATCTACGTAGACGTGTGTGTGGGCACACTCGAGATTAAAAATGAGTTTGATCAAACACTCGAATTTTCCACAAACACCAACGCATGCATGATGTGAAATTTTTTTTTGGAGAAAAATTTTCCTTTCTCTCTATAACAGGGAATTCGGCCAGCCTCCTTTCAGTTAGGTTAAAAAAATTGTCACGCGTAATTTTTCATCATCCCTTATTTATAAAGTAGAAGTCCAACTTTTAGAAGGAATCAAATCTCTCTCTCCTGTTTGAATTTTGAACAAAAATTCTCCTCTACCTTCTTCTTGCGTGGCCAGCCACCCTAGGGTTTCCTTTCCCTGTGTGTGACGCCAATTGCAGATAGGGAATGAAGAGAAAATCATCATTTATCATGTAGTCTAATTTCAATTCAAATTCAAATTTGAATTTTAAGTCAAATTTAAATTAATTTGAATTCTAAATTGAACAACTTATCAAATAAGTTTAAAAGGATAAATTTAAATTATGTTCATAATTCAAATTCAAATTCAAATAATCACATTATTTAAATAATAATTAATTCTCAATTAATTATTTTCTGAGTATTTAATTTTAAAATTTCATAATTCTAAAATTCCCATTTTGTCCTTTGTGTCTCGTAGAATTACAAGAATGACGCGGGGACTAATGCACCTATAATCCCGAGCTCCAATAAAATTAATAATTAATTAAACACTTTAATTAATTAATTAATTCTATTAATTCTAATAGTTACT